ATGAATTAAAAAAATTAATTATTTAAATGACATATAAAATTATAAAAAAATTATCCAATTATATTTCTTAAAAAATGTTAAAAAAAAAAAAGACTACATCAAGTACAGCTCAATAGTGGACCCTATAAAAACATTAACTCGATTTAGTTTGGACGGAATGATGACATCAGCTGTTGGAGAAGAGCTGAATTGCCACTGACGAGTTTAAGGGGTCATATGTTACTATTTTTAGTTTACAGGCCTTTTTACAACTTCTCAACAAGTTTAAGCCGTAATTTGTATGATTTGCCAATCAGTTGATAAAGTTTGACCATTTTGACTATCTATTTTAATGGTTTAAGTCCCACAATTTTTAAATAATATCATTTGTAAACCTTTATTTTAGCGGGTACTTAACATTACCAATTTACTAGTGTTTCTCTATTCTTACATATTTCTATAAATGTTTTTATAAGAAAAAACTTGATACCTCTCGCTCACGTCTAATTTCTGACTCCATTAATAGCTGTCATGTCCTGATGTCTAGAAGGGATTACAAGGACCCATTTCACGTGGCGCTGAGCTCTAGACTCTCACCGCTTAGTCTACAGGGTCTGATGCTGGCAAATAATTGTACATTTTCACCCACTCGGGTGACTCGGCCACTCAAAATAGTACATTCATACAGTGACATACTGACATTTTCTGTCTTTTATGGGCTAACAATTGCTTTTTTTGAATTGTTTTTCCGGACTTCTGCATAAAGTTGTCCCCTGCTTAGCTTTGCTGGAAGGCAGGCAATTCCACTAGCATTTTGAAAACGTGGGTATGCTATTGGTAAATGGCAGGACATAAAGGAATCCGAGGCAGAGAAAAATATCTGAATATCTGAGGTGAGAAACAATGAAAGTAAAAAAGATCACGACGTATTATAATGACAATTGGGGCCAAGATGTATGTGTTTGCTTTTGTCAATAGAGAAAATTCCAATTCATGGGAAAGACATGAGGGCACTCATGTTTGCCATTTCTTTGAGCTGGAGTCCAAGGTAAAAAGGCAAGTTTTATGTGCACCTGCTCGCATTACATTCTGGACACCAGCAAAGGCAGCATTGCAGGTGATATATTCAAATGATATTCTATCATTGGATCGATATCCTTGCCGATGGACCTATAGAGAACGAGTTTGATTGGGCAAAGGCACTTTTGGCAAAATAAGGATTAAAAATAAGTTTAAACCTTTTGTATTTTATGAGTTGTTCTAAGCAAATTAATATTGTAAAAGTTTAAGGATAAGCCTTCTCAAAATATAAATTGGGTTTTTTAATTAATCTCTTAATAGTATAATAAATATATTTTTTATTATAAATTTATATTAAAAATAAAAATTTATTTTTAATTTATTAATTATTTAATTAAATTTATTTACTTAATAATCATAAAAAAATTAATATTAATTTTTTAATATATTTATGACAAAAAGTACATTAAAGGAATAATCTAAAAAAACTAATTTAAA